TCTCTGAGTGTTAGTGTTTTGTTGTGTTCCCAATCTAAAATCCCCGAAGATTGTCCATCCTTCATGCTCACCTGTACTGTCGTGCTCATCCCTACACTGTTGCTGAATAATATGGCTGGGATAGGGCGGCCTCAGAATCATCATCTCTCTCATTTTCTCTTTGAATAATATGGATTAAAAAAAAAAATAACAAATTTTCAAAAAAACTGATCATGGATTAAAAAAAAAATCACAAATTTTCAAAAAATTCTGTCATGGATTACAAAAAAAATTCGATCATGGATTAAAAAAAAAAATCACAAATTTTCAAAAAATTCTATCATGGATTACAAAAAAAAACAAAAAAAAAAACAAAAAATTCAATCGTGGATTACAAAAAAAGAAAAAAACAATTCGATCATGGGTTACAAAAAATTCAATCATGGATTACAACAAACTCTATCATGAGTTACAAAAAAAGCAAAAAACAAAAAATTCGATCATGGATTACAAAAAAAAACAAACATTTCGATCATGGATTACAAAAAAAACAAACATTTCGATCATATATTACAAACATTCGATCATGGATTACAAAAAATTCTATCATGGGTTACAAAAAAAAAAAACAAAAAAATTAACGAAATCATAGGTTAAAAAAAAAAAAACAAAATTAAACGAATCAATGGAATTCAAAAAAATACGAATACAAAGTAATTAACAAAAAAAAAAAAAAAAAAAAAAAAAAAAAAAAAAAAAAATAAACCGTACTTGACTCGCCGATTCACTGATCGGGCTCGTCGATTCCGTACAGTGAATCGACGAGTCACTGTACAGAATCGTCTGGTTCTCTCTAGAACCGGATGATTCCCGTTTTTTTCGTCGCCTATCAATAACTAAAGGGTGACGTTTGCAAAAGGCCGCAAAACCTTAAACAATCGAGGTAAGACACATCCCTCTAAACTTTGTCACAAGATTCAATTTTGGTGTCAAATTTTTTTAAGATGGCCTGAAAATTTATTTTCACCTTTTAATATAAAATTTTAAATTAAAAAATGATTCACATCAAGTAGATATGTAAATACATGGAAATTTTGAAAATAGACGGTCGAGATAATATGTTGCAACATGTATTATTTTTGGGATTCGAAATATTTGTTTATTTCTATATTCATACATCTCGATGTTAAGATAATTCATTAGATAGTTTGTACAAACAAACATCTAGATACAAAAAGAGAGCATGGTGAATAAAATTAAAAGAATTTTATGTCGATTTCAATATAGTTTTATAATAAAACCCACAAAATATAAATTCTACATTAACAAGTCATTAATTTGGCACACTTATTTCTTTCTTTCTCTCTCCCAATTAGGCAAGAGATAGATCATGAATCAATGGGTATGAGAGTGATGTGTTTTAGGAAAAGGTGGGCAGGTTGGGTTCAGACTTGAGAGAGAGAGAATATTATTTGATTCAGTGCATAAGAGAGATTCCATTGTAGAGATGTGATAGGAGTTGTGATGTTTAAGACGATAATATATACACAAAAAATTAGATTTAGTGCAAGGGTGAAAATGTTTGTGTATGTATGGGGTATGCGACAATAAGAGAGATTGAGTCGTCATCTAGAGAGAAATTGATGATGGATGAAAGAGAGCATGTAGGGAAATAATTGGTGATGAGAGAGATCCTCTTAACAAAAAGAATACATGGGTGAAAGAGAGATGCTAATAGATGGAAAATTTGGGGATGAGAGAGATCCTCTTTTTCTTTCTATTTTTGGTTTTGTACGCGATTGTGTCCCAACTCTATGCAAGAAAGTCTCTATGCTAAATAAATAGTGAGTAGGTGAGAACGATAGTTTTGAATAGATAATGAGAGATAAATTAAATACGGATAGAAATAAGTGCGACACCTCTAGATATAAATTAAATACGACACCTCTAGATATGAATTAAATACGACACCTCTAGGGAAATAAAATATTAATAAATATGAATAACATTAAATACTTAATTTAATACATTATTTTTAGAAAATATTAGAGATGGATAAAAAAGACCCCTTGTCTTTAATTATTTACAAGCGTATATCGCATTGGAAATTATAAAAATACAAAAATCAAAAATTTGAGTTAAAGACATCCATTTTATTGCGATAAGTAGCATTTTAAGCTTCACTATAACAATAAAATCAATAAAACTGTCAACAAACACTTAGATATAAAACATGTTCTCGATAATAAAAATTCATAACGCAACCCCACGTAATCCCTTTTTTTTTTTTAAAAAAAAAAGAACTATATTTTAAATAAATTTTAAATTTTTTTTAATACTTTTTGAAAAAAAATAAATAGTCAGATTCCACTTAGCCAATCTACTGATCTGGATTGCTTATCAGAATCGATTTTCGAGATGGCTGATCGAGGTGTATGTTTTTGACATTCTCCCCTATTTCCTTGCCTTCGAGCTTACCCCAACAATTGGGTTAACTTCTTGCTAAAGCGAAATGGAATTATCCAAGATTTCACGACAAATGTTCCCCTACAAACAAGATGCGTGTTGCTGTTTCATGATGAAGATAATCGTTTAAATACTCAAAAAAAAAAAAAAAAAAACAAATAAAGACTTGTTTGCTCTCCAAAAGGCCTCACTCAGTGTGTTTTTATTTTATCCCTTGTTAAAATGGGGTACAAAAGAAACACGCAACACATTAGTTGTCCATGAATCATTACACCTCACCAAATTAAACTTTACTCTTTGTAAAACTAAACTATCAATAAATCATAGAATGGTAATAATAAGCAAGAGAATTGGAAATCATTGAATTTGATGTTGTAAAAGTATATAAGGATCTTCCTCCATCATTATAACATAATCATGCGAATTCAATGAGGGAAAACACATCTTAAATCGCCAAAAAGGAGTTTATGCCTTGGATCCATCCATTTCCAGCTCCAGAAATAGTATACATATGATGATATATAAAGAAATAGAATGAATGATCTTTTTCGTTATTATAACGGAATCATATAGATTCAATCAGGAAAAACGCATCTTAAATCACTAGAGAAATATTTCTTCCTTAGATCGATCCATCTGAAACTCCAAACGTTGCATGTATCTGATGATTTTTTAAGAAGTACAATGAACAATACAAATAAATAAAGTTGAAATCTTTATATATATAAAGTTGAAATCTTTATATACGTGAACACGATTTCTCTGAGTCAATGCAGAAATGAGTTGACTCTTAAAAATCTATTTTTGAGATGGATTTTCGGAGCCAATATTTAATGATATGTCTAACATGGAGATCATGAATATAAATATATAAATAAATAAATTTTAAGAAATAAAAATAATGATATAATGAAGAAAACATTTGGACCGTTAGTTTCTATTGTTATTCAATGGACCACCAATTTACATCCATCTTTATATTAGTGTACTCACACAATGGAGATGGGTGTGAAGTTGTCATCTACATGGGATGTGACATCATCCATATATAACATTAAATATCACTAGGGTATTCCATGTGGGGGTGATATCACACTTTTTATAATGATAAAAAATACTCTTATTAAAAAAAGAGAAATAACGTTGTGAAACCTTCCCACACTCATGTGTAGGACCGCAAAGGATCACCATTAAATTTGATATAGATCTCTAAAAAAGTCAAGTCCCACACCCATATGATAACTTTTTTAGAGATCTCTGCCAAATTTAATGGTGCTCTTTTGAAGTCCTACACATATAGATGTGGAAGAATCTCATAAGATCATTACTTTTAAAAAGATACTCTATGTATAAAATAAAGGTATAGAAATGTCTAAATATAATGATAAATTACTCTATAGTATGAGTATCCTATCATAACTGGATTGAGATTATCTAATTGTAAAATTTTGGACCCAAAATTCATCTTTCAAATAAGTTAGAGATAAATTTTGGAAAAGTAATTAATTGGGGTGCTAAGACTTTGTCCTAAATTGAAAGAGAAAGTATGATACGAGCCATTTTGGAAGATGTCATCACCGTCCACATGGATCATCACAGGCATGGATCATCACAGCAGGTCAACGGTGGAGGGATAGGGTCTCACATGCATATCATTAATTTGGTTACGTGTGCCCTTGATCACGGTCGGAACCATAATTTAATGATGACCACGTGGATCACATTATAAATGAAAGAAAACTTATCAAAGTCAAAAGATATGTTGCTGCCGCAGTAGCATACTGTCCATTTGCATATAAGAGATGAACTGTTTTACAAATTGATAATTAATTTTTATTTAATTTCAAGAATTACATCAGATATTCAAACTATTCAACATGAGTTTGAATAGTTTATGAAAGCGTAAAATGCCAGGTGGTTGTTAATTGTATTTGGATAAATTCTCCTAGAAAAATTATGTGCTATGGCTACGACAACAACATGATCCCAAGGGTCATCGCGGTCCAATCAATGGGTCGATGGAGACAAAGTGATCGACAAATACACGTAGTCACATGTTAGGGGCCCACTGTTCCTTCATCACCACTCAACCAATTGATTGGACGGTGATGAGCCTTATAACCACTATATTACGATGAGCTATCCTTATCTAGTTAAACCCACGAGCTATGGGTGCCAATGGGTCGGGTCCAAGTGACTTGGACTCGGACCTGTACCCAGGTAGGTCCAATCCATATGATCTCACAATTAAAAGAAATAGAAATTTATTTTATATACTGTATAATACATTTTATATTTATTTCATGCTGAGTTATTTGAGGTGACTGGGACCCAATAAAAACGAAATTTGGACCTGACACGCCTTGTCCAAGACATGGAACCAGCGGCAAACGGTGCCGATCGACCCGATTGCATGCCTACCACGAGCCACGACATAATTACTCGCACGTGCCTCAGTCAGAAAGATCGCTCGTGCGAAAATGACATCAGTCATCTGAAATGAAAATGGCCCGTTACTACTTTCTGCCTTTCTTAAAAACGATTTTACCATTTTTTTCCTTACTATTTATTGCGAGAAAAAAAGGAATAAGTGCAAGAACGCGAGGATCCAGAATTCGAATCCTCTGTTTTTTTGGCGATTTTCCCCAATTTAGGACCAGGAAACCAGGTTCCGAGGACCTCGATTCCCTAATTTCTCTGCAAATCCGGGGTATTTTTGGACGGCTGCGCTTCTTGCGCATGCCATTTTGAGCCATTTTTTTGAAGCAATGGCGGGCGATCATGGACGTTGCTCCTGAATCTAGGGTTTTTCTGGGTCGATTCTGGTTGAATAACCGCAGGGATTCAGTGATCTGGTTTTAGAGGGAGAAATTGGGGGTCTTTCGACTGGTTTGATAATGGCATCGGCTCAGGTTTTGCCTAATTCTGTGGCCTCTTCTTCTTCTTCTTCTTCGAGAAAACAGGGGCACCTCGAAGCTGGAAAGCGTAGGGTATGGTCACTTTGCTTTGAATTCGTGGTTTGATTTTTGTTTTGTTTAAAATAAAGTAATTGGGATTATGATCAATTGATTAATTGGAGCATGCATTTGTTCCTTCTCCATCGAATAATCTGCATTCTTTGCCCTTGATTGTTCATAAAAAATTTCACCTCGATTAGGATTTATTGTGCTGTAACATCTGATTTTTTCATAATAGATGGGTAATTTCGAGTGGAAGTATTTTGAGATGTATCTTGTTGCATTCACCTCAAGGAAATTTTTTTTTTTTTTTTTCTATTCACCTCTTTAACCGTTAATTAATGTGAAGCAGAAGTGTTTGCAAGTTTTGAAATTGTGAATTGATGTTGATTCTCTCAGTGTCATTAGAGAGAAACTTGAATTCATAATCTTTTGTTTGAGTTACTGTTTTAAGCTCACTGGGTCAAATCATTAAAGACACATGTCGCTGGTCCACTCATCCCATGGGATTCTTTTTTTTTGTTGGTTTTGTTCTTTGAATTGTTAATTTTTTCATTGATACTGAGCAGTATGAAAAGGATATTATTTCTAAGTTTTCATTCATTAATGGTTGATTTCTATGGTCCTTCGCCCTGAAGATAAACATGCAGTATTTTTTGTTGTCTTACAATTAAAATTTTACTGCTATTTTGGAAACACATGCTGAAGCAAACTGGTGTTTTTGACAAACACATATATGGCTATAAGTAGCTTTTCTTTTTTTAAGTTTGGTGGTTGGGCTGGTTTGAACCTCTGATAATGTTGACCTGGACCTTATGACCCAAACTACCAAGCATTAGGCAAAATGACTGGACCCAACTATGAAGTAGCTTTCCTTGGAATTAGTTTAGTGTTAGACATTGAAATAGCTATCACTTATCAGCCATCCAAAGACAAACTTAAAAAAGGATGCATACAACGTTCAAAGCATGTCATATGTTGGCTCATATATAGGTCTACACTCCCTTTATAGGAAACGGATTTACTCAATAGTCCATGTCGTTGATGTGCCTGAACCTGATATATTTAATTAATTGAAGTAACTCCATATGGAGTTGTTTTGCCTGGGATCTGGGTTATGTTGTGTTTTTTTGAAAAACCATATGGGTCTATCTTGTTCTATCTAGATTTATTCGATGGGACGTCTTGGAAGTTATTCCATTGAACTTCCTCAGAGTTTTAGCTCGAGAAGTTTTGAATGGATGGGTTGCAATTTTTGCTATCACTATTTAGCAGGGAGATATTGCTTGTCACATATCACAGGTAATGAGCTTGATGAGATAAGAGATTTACTAAGACGCCTATCAGCACTCTCTGCTGCATATTGATTATTAGTTAGTCTTTTGCATTTCTGCTTGTTGGTTTTTGGTTTTTGGTTTATGATGATAAAAATACATTGGTTACATGTTTCAATTTCTAGCATGTGATGTATACATATGCTCTATGCAAAAATTAAATGGATTTTGTTTATAATGAAGTTGGCAAAATGTGCTGTTGCAGCTGGAGGAGTTTCGAAAGAAGAAGGCTCAGGCCAAAAAGAATGCTTCAAATGATCAATCACCGTTTGCTGATGTGGCTTCTGCCTCATCGGAGCAAGCTCTGCAAGGAAGTCAGCAAGCGAAGATTCTTGATTCGGATGGAGTATCTAAAAGAGATAATGGTGTGGATCAAAACATCACTGCTTCTGACAACTTGATGTCAACTAGCTCAGTCTTGCATGATGCCCAAGCTGTTCCTGTGATTAGAAGTAGTGTCACTGTTCCTTTACATGGGAGGCATTCTACAGATAATGTTGAAAACTCTGATGCATCTTTAGTACAGATACCTAGAAGGACAGAGGTTTCTGCCGAGCTTGATAGTGGTGGCTTTCCTGGGCCTATGTCCAGTACAAATGACATTAAAAGAATTGAAGAAAACAACCAACATGATTTTCATAAAGGAAATGGAATAACACCCCAAATTCTCACAGACCAGTTTGCTTCCTTTACTTCAGTGCATGGAGCGCCAGATGTTGATGAGAGAATCCGGCGAGCCAATTCCTATGGTTCAATTGGTCCCAAGTTGAATGAAGAGTCAGGCATCTATGATATTTTTGGAAGGAGTAGCCTGGTAAATACAACCTCAGAAGTTCCTGAACATAGCCAGGTCGAATATAGCCGTCCAACTTCCAATCGCACATCGAGCTCTTATTATGGTAAGAACATTCTTATATTGTATAATATTATTCTTTTTTTTTGGAAAGAAATTGTAATTTTTTTCTAATTCTCTTATTGCTTAAAATTTGATGTATTACGATTTAATTGCTTTGCCATTGTTGTTTGCAGATCTCATCTATTCTAACAGCAACAAAATGGAGCCAGCGTCAAAAGGTTGGCAAAATGGTCCCACCGTTGACATGGAAGGAAGGAATTCTGGTGTGTCTGGTAATCATCATTCTCATATCAACAGTATACCATGGCAGGCATCAGAAACAACTTCTACAGCTTCCAATTTCAGTTCCGGAAGTTCTTATAACCATGTTCCTTTGGTGACTGCAGCATCAGAATCTAGTAGTCATCGATCCCGCCCATCGTTCCTCGACTCTCTTAATGTGCCTAGAGTTTCTTTAGCTACTCATCCTGCATTTAGTGATTCTTATAGTGCTGAATCTTCTATGAAGTTTAAAACTCCTGAGGTTAAATTCATGGAGCATCAGACAAATGAATCTTCCCAACTTCCATTTCCAGAGGCAAAGGATCTTGAGCATTCTGGGACGTTGAACGATCTAGATGTGCAAAGTATGAATGACCACAGTTTATCGGTTTCTTCTCATTCCATAAGCCATGATATAGAGTCTCTGAGGCAGTTGATCAAGGATGAGAATTCTCTGAGACAGTTCGAAAATTTGTCCAAGAAAAATGAAGACTTCGCTGCATTGGAACAGGTTAATTCTTAGTTCAGTGGTTGCTCATATTGTTCGACTTTAGTGTAGAAGTTATCTGCTTAGTTTGATGTTTTGTTGTCTATACTGTATTTTATTGTTATACTTTACCTCTCCGTTTAGTTGTTTTCTATGCTATGCTAGGCAATCGCATAGCTTATGGATCCAAGAATCCTATATGTGATTTATTATTGCTTTCCAAAAGGGATTAGTTTCTCCTTAGATATCTGATAACTCGAGGGTATCAGACCCATTCCTGAAAGCAGGTAGAGCAGTTATATTCATTCTTTGGTCATAGACATCCTATATTAGTAAATCTTTATTTATTTTTCAATGATGATGAACTTGAATATCAGGAAACAACAATTACTTGGACTTCTGTATAGGCTAACGACTAGGGGCAAAACATGGGTCCTCTCCTGTATAACTCTAAAGGACTTTATGGATGCACCAAAGGACTGTATGGATGCACCCATTATCACAAATAATTCCTGTTAATAAATTTATTCATCATAAGGATTTATTTGTTGTTTGGTAGTGCCTTTTATAAATTGATCTGTTACTTTTTCTTGGATTGCCATATAAGCTTCTCTTTTGAAAGAATGTTGTTATTTCATCCAATATAACTCTGCCCCTTTATGCTTTTTCTTTTTGAGCAATCCAAGCTTTCCCTTGCAACTGGGGAAGCTCTCTCTCTCTCTC